AACTGTAAAGTCATGCTTTAGAGCGAAAGCCTGCATGTTTAAAGATGAATGAGGGGGAAGTTAGAATGAATGTGTTTTGTAGGGTTCTCCACCTACATTTGAATTTTTAAGAATATTAAAGTAGCTCATTGAGTTGTAGAATGTCGAGTAAGGTGTGTCTATTTGGTCGTTGAATTCTAACAAATCATGGTGGTTAGGGGAAGTGTTGTAAGACTAAAACACGAATATTCCCGTTTGACACCACACACGGTGGAGAGCCAGGGTAAAGTTAAATTAATGCTTGAAAAATTGAATGAATGTGAAGTAAGCAATAACTAAGAAAAACGAATCGTTTAAAAACAAAAATTTATTGTGTCAAGAAAGTGTAAATTATAATGTATGTAGAAAGATACTGATACTTATTCCTTCCAGATGCTGGAAGGAAAGACCAAGATTGATTGATGAAGTCCAGGAAAAGTTGCTGTAAGAAGAGAAAGCTTTGTAACGAGCAACAGAATTTTAGTATATAATTGTTACATAAGATTTTTTTTTTTTTGTGTAAACGAGGTTCTCGCCAAGTTAGTTCAGAATTAGAGAAACTTACAACAGGTCGTTTGTAGGACCTGCTTCCAAGTTTTCCAAATTCTGGCAGCGGCAAATGTAGGGTTTATATTTATTTTAACTAACATTTATTTTAAGTTTAAACTATCTTTCCTGTCAAGCCTTACTTTCCCCTGGAACTGCCAATGCCAGAATATGTAAATTTGAGTAGAACGCGCAAGGATTCAAATTATCAGCGGAAGTATTATGATTTAAATAGAAGGAAACGAGTTCGGTGTGATATTCTTACTTCAGCGAGCGCGGAGGTAGTTAGCGAGAATTGAAGAACCCCGCGTTTGCGGCCTATGTGCTTGGCGGGAAGTAGTGGTAATCGTTCCAGTGAGCTTCAAGTCTGCTGAATTAGCAGCGGTATTGTAAAACGCGGTGAGTTAGTTATTTTAGAGAACCTCGTAGTTAGAATCTTGTCTTTAGTTTCTTTTCAGGTTATTATTTTTATTTGACTGCCGAGTTGGCACCGTCTGTAAGCGTCAAGAGAACGCAATTGTAATTTATTACGTTGAATAAAAAGGGACTTAAACCCTTCACAAGGCTCTATCTTTTATACAAGTTTTCACAGTCACCTCTTGGTTGCGTGCAAGTTGGAGGCGCGCAACGTTATAAGGTATTATATTTATCGATAAAGGAGATGTGAAAATGTGTAAAGCTCTAGTCACGATTTGAACACTAAATTTCTCGATACTATCTGGCGTACTATCCAATTGCATTACGAAAATACTCGGAAAAGAGGGAGAAAATATCTTATATAATTGCCCTTTTAAAAGGCAAATGGGAATGAGGAGGACTTATCGTCCTCCATTTTTTTTTAAATTCGGGTGCCACTTCTAAAGTCGTTAGGTTTATCGATACTGGAGACATGAAAAATCTTCAATGCCATTTCCGGTATTCGAACACTGAACTTCCGATCCAGTTACACAACAAGCACTCGCAGAAAGGAGGAAGAAAATACCTTATAGGTTGATACAACAAATATTTTAGAGATACAACTAAAAATGGTTTTGTGGGGAAAAAAATTTTGAGAATCAAACAAAAATCAGATATCTACTGGCAATATCCTATAAGGTATTTTTCCGTTTTTCTGGCATGCTTTCCTGGTGTAAGGGTAGCACACTTGGGGCGTACTCCAGAGTTCGATTCGTGTCCAGGAGAGGGCACTGCACAGTTGTTACATCGCTTGCTTTCAAGTAATTTAATGACTCTATAGGGGAGCCTGAACTAAAATGTGGGGCACAATGAATCGTCACCACCAGGATTTCGCGACTGGGTCCCCTAATCTCCAGTAAACCTTTGAAAGGGGGTGTATATGACACATTTTCTTTCTCCATCCGGCATGTCTTCATGGTGTAACGGTAGCACACTTGGGGCTTATTCGAGATATCCAGGCTCGAGTCCCGGCGAGGGCATTGCTCATTTTCCATGTCTCCTGATTTTAAAAAAAATAATGACTGTACAGTGGCACCCGATCTAAAAGGTGGTGGATGATGATTTTTCATCAACAGGATTTGGCGACACTGTGTCGCGTAATTCCCAGTCACCCTTTAAAAGGTGGAATGTATAAGTTATATTCTCTCTCCTTCCAGCATGCCTTCGGGAGGTAGCACACTCGTAGTGTAGCGGTAGCGCGTATTCGAAAGGTCTGGTGTTCGATACGCAACGTGAGCACTGCACATTTATCACGTGACCTCCTCCTTTCACGTGTCTTTTTCACGTGGAAATAGCTTAATGACTGTACAAGTGGCACCGGAACTAAAAGGTGGTGGACGATAATTCGTCACCACTAGGATTTCGCGATTAGATCTCCTAATCCGTAGTTTCCCTTTAAAAGAGGAAGTATATAAAGTATTTTCTCTCTTGTTCCAGCATGCCTTCGTGGTGCAATTGCTTCAAAAATAACTGGTGACTCTCCAAGCCTATCAATCATTTACTAACAAAGTTACTGAAAGAGTGCTAAGGATATCATTTGTTGAAAAATGTTAAACTTTTAAGATTTGGAAAACTATCTGTGTGTTATAACATGTCAGGAATGAATATCTGTAAGACAACAATAAAATATCAATCCAGCCAGCCAGCCAGACATTATCAGCATTATCTGATAATAAATACTTTTCCTTAATAACGGGTATATGAAAAAATATTTTTTTGAGTTCACAATTCTGCAGTTCCCCATTTAATTCAGCGTAGAATCTTTGGAAATTACGTTTCAACTAATTGTACTTATAAACCGTATTCGTGCTAAAAAAATAATCGACAAACGCTAAAATAAAAAGTACGAGCGTAAAAATCGGAACTCAAACACATAGTTTACGTATAAGGCAGAGGTTTTAATGCCGAACCAAAACCAACATAAAACGCAGTCCCTCAGTCGCATCACAAAGCCTTATAAAGGGGCCCGCCGGACCTATGCTTTGTATATTAACAAGCAGCGATAGTTCTGTATAATCCGAGATAGTCCATGCGAAACGCTTGAGCCGAAAACACCATTTGCACGATGAAATGCGTTGGAGGGCTATCGGGATGTTGCAAGTTGGTGTAAGACAATTCGCTGCTGCTGCGAGAGAGTTGAATGTGCATTGCACTGTCATCAAAAGGCTGTGGAATTGCTACCAAAGGGGTCAAAAACCAGTGTAGAAGACATGGGTCTGGACGCCGAAGAATTACTGCAACCTCAGACGATCACTTCCTATTGCTATGCCGTAGATCACTAACAGAACGACAGCTGGTGTCGCATCGCTCTGCTGCTGCGGGATATTCCATATGCCGCCAAGCTTTGTCGAATCGCTTTGTATGAAGGTGGACTGTATGTCCGACGACCTGTGATTTATGTTCCTATGTTTCCATCGCATGTCAGAATGCTGTTGAATTGGGCCCGTAAAGCATCGCAGTTGGATACCAGAGCAGTGAGTTTTGGTACCCTTTATGGATGAGTTATCATTCGACAACCAAGAATGATTTCCGAAGGGCAATGATATAGCAAAAGTCAGGGACACATTATCGGGTGCCAAACATCTTGGAAAGGGAACATTGCAGAGGAGGAGGCTTACTTGTATGATATGCAATAGCAACGATCGACTCTTAAGTTATTCTTGGTGGTTCTTTCACAGGCGTTTGATATCGCGACAAAATTTGAAACCTTCTTGGGCGTCCTTTAATCGCTGTAATGGTTACCGACGCCATCTTTATAGAAGATAATGCCTGTTCGCAAAGCGCTCGAAAGGTGCGGAGTTATCTGTAGAATGAAACGTTCCACATCTTTCATGGCCTGATAGATCACCGAATCTGAATCCCATAGAACAAGAGTGGGACATGTTGTGATAACGGAGGGCATGTCATAATGTGCCGCGAGACATCTTCCACCCCAGCTCAATCACATCACAACAACAATGCATTACTATAGGAATGGGCGCTACTCGCACAAAAACCGATCAACGACACTATTGCCAGTTTGCTTCGCCGATACCAAACATGTATTTCAGCTTAAAGGGGGCTATAACCATTATTAGCGTGATGTTTCCATTGCACATCCTTCCGACTTATTTGGTCTTTCGCAGTGTGAAGGTCGTAATACGCTTTTGTATCATTGGTTTTTGTTTGCTTTGTGATATAGTAATGTCACATCAACCTCTTGGATCAGTTTCACACATATTCATTAAATAGTTTTTCTTTTATTCTGTGTTTTGTTCCTTATTTATTCCTTTGTTGCTTATTTTTTTAGTAAGAGCACATACAATTAACTTTAGTTTTCAAATCAAAGTTCTCTTTCTAATTCCCTAAAGCACCCTAAAGATTATATTCGAATAATTAAATTGATTTTATAGGTTACACCCCTCATATGCATTTTCATCTTTAAAATAATTCAAACTCTTTTTTCACATATAGCTTCCGTGTTTTGAAAATAAGTTATATCATAAAATATTGAAAACTAAATGTACCGATACTTTCGAAAAAAGAAATCATTGATAGATTGAATGAAGGTTATGTAATTTTTTTAATAATAACTGAGTTTTAGGGATTGTTTCGAATTCTTAAAAAGAATCACCTAAGCTACCTCTTATAAAGCAGATATTTATTAGAGGAGAATATGAACAGTAATTAAAGACATTTTGGACAATAATCATTATCTACACTGCTAATAGTTTTTTCTGCACAAAATTTCAGTATCAACGAGATCTTCTTATAGTCTTAAATAAATCTTTGTTCTTAAATTATAAGAATAAAGTTCCACAAATACGGTACATGAATATAAAATACCAATAGTTTTGAATCATAGCTTCACAGTAATCGCCTTTACAGACTTTCTTTTGCAGAAATTTTCAACAGCGAAGCTGGAAATTCAAAATTCTTTATATAAAAGTTAAATAATCAAATTATAATCTCTGTTTAATTTATAGATAATGGTTACTTACCTCCACGGCAAATAAAATGCGAAATTCTGTATCTGAAAATAAAAACAGCTATTATAATATTATACTACTTTGATTAAGTAATTTTAAAACTAATGAGAGAATGGAGAAAGCTTATTGCGTTAATAATGCATTTACTTAGTGAAATTTACTAACACTCTTCTGCTTTTTGTTTTACATTTGTACAAATTTTGCAAATTTGCAGCAGTATGTAATTTCTTTGTTAAACATGTATTGTTTATTCAGTTATTCACTTCTATAAACCTCGTGGCATACTTTGTGAAACACTAGGAGTTTCGCATTGGGTGCAAAACCTACTCCTTTAACTTGTACGAAGTAAAAAGGAAGTATTGTAATCGCGAAACGTTTCAGGCAGCATATTTAAACGAAAATATTGACCGCTATCGAATGCAATTTAACGATGTATTTGCGTGATATCTGTACGTAAAGACAGAATAAAAGTCTCTTTTCCTCCAAAAAAATTATTAATCTGCTTTGAAATGAATTCTAAAAGAGAATTTTTCGAGGCGTCTGTGCGTGCGTACGTACGTATGTATCTCGCATAACCCAAAAACGAGTAGCCACCGAACGTTGAAATTATGTATACAGGACTGCTATAACATGTAGATGTGCACCTCGTATTTTGTTTGCAATGGGCTGCACCAAAAGTATATAAATATATGTATTCATATATCCACTCTGTTACTCGGCTCAGTGATCTCAGTTTCTTTATTCTTATATGTTTGTGAATTGTGTATTTTTTGCTTTAAAAATTATTGAATTATGTTGTTCTTATCTTCCGGTTAAGGTTTTTATGCCTTTAGTAAATCTGTATGCAATATTTTTAGAAATATCAACAATTTAAAAGTTGTTTAAGTGCCACTAAGCCTAATATTTTATTCCATGGCGGTCATTGCTTGTTTACGTTTGAAACAACAGAATAATAAATTTGTTCCCAATCTAGAAAAATTAAGCTTCGCAATAACAAAGATAACGCCTTCTTTTATTATTGCGAATTAAATCATGCTTAATCCATTCTGGAATTTACTCGAGGGAAATAAGTGTTTTAAGATTTACTTCATAATTTTCAATACAGACATCTTGAGTTTAAATGTATTTTTACCTTCTCGCGAAGTGAGAACTGAAATAATTGAATTCAAAATACTGAATCGTCTGTAAAAAACTGTTTCTTTTTTGTTTTTGTCGTTCTTTGCTTAATTTCTTTTATACATCGTTTTAGATTTATTATAGTATTTGAATAGATCATGTAGCAACGATTAGATAATTCCTAAGGATATATAAATTTTGTGCATTCTGAGTTATGATATGAACGAAATATAACGCTTTTAAAGGAACCTAGCGCCAGAGTGTTGCTATGGTAAACAAATATAGTGAATTTTAAAGAGTGCATTTATTCTATTGTGATTTATGCGGTTTCAACGAAATAGATTAAATTCAATCCAATACGTTTAAATGAAATGCAAGAAAAAAATGCCTAAATTTAATATTCCGTACAAGGAAGTCATGTGGTGTATACAGCAGATTTTTTTCTGTGTGTGTGCATGTCATCGTAATGCCACGCTATCATGCTACCTGGCACGTTACAGTTCTCCGAAATTTTGCTATATATATTACATTCCTCTCTGCAGAGTGATAGATTAGTATATTTTATTTCATTTAATAAGATCTCTAATTGATGTGATTCATGATCCATTTCACTCTTATAATTCATAATATACCCGCCACATGACCACAAACATTTTCAGTAATAATAAAAGACGTTTTCTTGCGCCATATCTTACATTCCCTGCCGCCTAATCGGCATAGTGGTTAACGTCGTTGACTGCCATATCGAAGAACCGGGTTTAGAATCCCGGAGAAGGTATGGATGTTTGTCAATTATAGTGTCCGTGCGACATGAGGTCACCTAAATATGCGGCGAGCCAAAATTTCTCTCGAGAGCTTGGTGGTAGGGAAAGAGGGGATGGAAGATCATTGGATCCGTCCCCCCAGGATGCTTTCCATCAAAATTGGGGGCGTAACTGAGATAAATCGCACTGTCACCTGTAAGGTGCTCAAGGCTTTTGCCAACGAGAGGTGTAAACTTTCGCTCCTTGCAAAGATGAACTTCGTGGGCTTGGGCTGACTATAGGTGGGACAAGTGAGCATTAGCAACAACAACGACAATATATTACATTCCTCTCTGCAGAATAATTACTTGCATGTCTCCTAATAATCAGTTTATTTTACATTCTCTGGTTATAACATAGGGCTGAATTTCAGGAGCCAAACATGTTTCCATAATCTTTCCTAGAATGCCTAACGTAAATGCGAATCGCATTTTACACAGGAAATGCTTCATTTTTAAGGCGGGTAGTAATCCATCGCTTTACTTTAATCAATACTTCCGTGTAACTCCTTTTTACCGCTATTGTATAGAATATCGATAATGTTTAAAGTTACTATTTTGTGTTCCAAAATATATCATGAAATAATGATTGATATCTTTGATTTCAAACTTTCAAGGAACTAAATCATTTCTTTAGCTAAGAACACTTTGTGAGTCGCTGGTATTAAAATTTAAAATCTTCTACCTTAATTAAGACACAATGTAGAGTTCCTCACTTCGGAATTCTAAGTTAATGTTGGAAGTGAAGAATCTAAGAACTGATAAGTGAATAATCGCTTGAGTTCGGTGACAAGAAACAACAAGATAGAAGGGTAACTAATCTTTTATTATTCCAATAAGATTTAACAAAACTCCGCCTGGGAGTGTACAAACAATGCCCGCACTTAGGTTTGAACTTAAAAAGACTAAGAATTAAACTAAAACTAAGATTAACTAAAGAAGTATAGCCGAAGCTATCAAGGTTCAAATCGAGTTGACCCCTTAACTTATTTCACTACGAAGCTTAGCAAGGGCCTGAGTACGGCCGAGCGTAATAACAGCTTTGAGAGAGAGAGTGGCCAAAAAGGCAGACGCGCGTAAATCAGAAACTCTGATTCTCTAACTCAGTAAGTAACTTCGTGGTTTAAATACCGCTCCTCCTCATTAAATATTCAGCAAGATTCCAAAACTACGTTCTGTCCGGAAGTAGTAAGTTGAAGTTAAGAATTTGACAGGAAAGGAACTTAAAATCTAACTGTTAATAAAATTAACATAATCCTTACAACAATAACACGCCGAACAAATACTAATTCAGAAGTCGAACAACAAAAGTCAGCGTTATATTTTCAAAAATTTTCGCAGGACTAGTTTCGATGGTTTTACCGAACCACCACCTTCAGCTGCAAAACAGCAAATGAATAAGATAGGAAATAATAATTAGATAAGATAAGAAAGCCTGGACAAGAATAAGCAAGCCAAATTCGTGAGAAATGAATGCTCTTCTCCAACAACTTTGTATCCTTGAGCTTTTTTACTTAATGCATTGACAATATTTTAGTTTTCTGTAGTTAAAATTAAAAGAAAAATCACTCGCACCATCCTATTTTCTACTTAATCCTGAGTTGGAGCTCATCTGGCTCGGACGTTATTTCTGTCTTTATCATAACAACATACTTTCCCCCATTACTTATTTTTGTGAACTTCTCCTTGTTTATAAATTGCTTTGGTCTTTTATGGTTCTTGGGTTTCATCCTTTAAATGTCCTGTGATTTATAACAGATCCGTTTGAAGTCTCGGGAGCTTAGGAAAGTCATTTTATGCTGAATGACGCTTTTTATTTTTATCTCGTATAGTTTCATCTCGTAAGAAGTTACATACTGGGATACTAGTTTGTTTTATTTTAAGAAACTGTTTGTTGACCTTTGACTTTTTTTGTATTTTATTGCAAACCTGTTTGTGCTGTTAGTTTCTTAAGAAATTCATATACTTTTTCTTTCTTCAAAATATACACAACGTTGTTTTTATTATAAATAACATATCCGGTAATGTGAATGCAGTTTTCGAGAAAACAGTTCGATTTCGATTTATTTATTAGCTGCATAATTATTTTATTTGTCAATGTTTTCATGTGGAATTTTATGATAAAAAATTTTTATTTATATTATTGAAAATCATTCTATTTACTTCTGAAAGCGTAGATGTCATCTTTCTTTTATATTGACTTTTCAAAATAAGATTTCAGTGCTATCGGAACTATTGGTATATTACTACATTTGATAGTTGATAATAAGCTAATGTTTCAATCACTTCAAAGGCCTCGGAACTCCTAAGAATATCATAGAAAACTGGAGACCAGGAAATAGAGAGCTGCCCCAAACTCAATTTAAATACACTTCTGGCAATCGCATGCAACCTACAATGCAGTAAAATATATTCCATATCTTCCACAGCATCGCCGCAAGCACGAAGTCTCTAGTAGCAATATTGAAACGAAGTAAGTTCCATTATTCGCATGATCAGTCCAAATCTGAGTAAGTTTATAATCCTGTTCAAAATGCTTACACTTAAGTCGTTGAAGAACGCTTGGAAAAATTCGATGTGTCCACTGGACCTTCGAAGAAGCAAGATATACAGCATCCCTGTCAACCACAGTTTTCTTCCAAGCCATATGCTTCCAATAAGATATGGAAGCAGACAACTTTAAATCATTATCTCGATAAGTCGCTTACTTAGCCAATTGGTCAGCTCTCTCTATACCGAGAATACCACTGTGGCCGCGAGAGTAAGCAAAATGAACATCTGCGATAGATCCAATCGCGCATAATATAGAGTGAATTTCCACCACCTGTTTTTCAGCCGATAGTATATCATGTAGAAGAGAGAGAGAAGAAAAAGAATATGTGCAAATAAGATATTTAACCCTTTGCGGTACAGTGTGTCCGGTCTGGACACACCTAAAAATTTCCTTCTGTACGCATAGAAAAATTGAATGAAAAAGGATTGATAAGTTACTATAGGTTACTCTGAATCTTCTTTATTTATAGTAGATGGCAGTTCAACACAAACCAATCCATATATTTTAGCCATGTTTAGTTTTTTAAAACCCTCATTTTTCAGAGAAATCTTCCAGATTTTTTCAGGGTATAAAAGGAATTATTTGAAAAGAAATTTCTATGTTATTTTTTTTGGCTGTATGCTATCTCCTCTCCTTATTCTATATTAGTTTAAATTTTTACCTTGAAATTTTGCCTAAATCAAACGGCGAACCCTAGGTGTGCCCAGACCGGGCTCACCGATCATCTAGGACAACTGGAAGTTTGTATTCTTGTTTTTCTCTTCTCCGCATCTCCTCGGTCAGCTCATTGACAACAATGCTCGTTTCATCAATCTTTTCGAAGTTCTATTCAATCAGTTCTATTCACTTATCTTTTAATTCTGTGGGTGTGCCCAAAACCCTCAGAATTAAAACGATAAGTGCTATCTTCACAAAATTTTACTTGTGTACTCCTCTAGGCCTAATTAGACTGCCTACCTTTTTTTTTAAATCAAAACTCCAACTTTAAAAAGTAGCTTGCCGGAAGGGGTTAAACGTCTCATTCTTACGACAAGAGATTTGTATCCATTTAACGGCAAGATTAAGCTCCAGCATTTCTAACATATGTGCCCAGCGTACCGAAACCGTAATTAGAACAATATTGAAATGTTCGATATGTTACATCGCAAAATTATTTGATTCGTTTTCTATTTTTTACCCTAGAATTCTAGAAACATTCTTTTCTATAATAAAGGCAGTTAAGTAAACTTCTTTTCAATTTTGGGATATTTATGTCTTAAATTAAAACAATATTTAGGATCAATAATGTTAATCTTACCACATTTTTGAGCGTCAAATGTAGCTTGATATATTGACCTCAACATGACGGGTTCGTCTAGTACTAGCAGCACTCTTTGCTTGGTCCTTCTCGTAAGAATGAAACAGTCGGACAAAAGAAGAGCCCAATACTGTAATATAAAAAAGAATTATTTTTGCATAGTATAAATATTTATATGTATTTAAAATATGCTTATATATGCACGTTACAATGTGCAAATTAATTGGGACAAAAGCGATCTTTTTATATTTTACTAGCTGTTACGCAGCATGCGTTGCAGTGTTACTTATAGGAAAGAAAGTGTTTGTGTTTTAATTCTGTTTATTGAAACGCTTTTTGGATCCACAATATTTTTGCCTGGTGCAGGTAATTTCACTTTTCTACCCACATAGCAACATTCCTGAGGCTTCATTCTTAAATTTGAGGGCTCAGCAGTACATTACAATTTGTCCATCTTTCCAAAGACCACATTTGGATGAAGACTATAATCATAATAAGCATCGTAATAGAATGCACCAAGATTTAAATCAGCGTGCTGTGTTCGTCTAGTTCGAACAGTGCTTACTCGAATGTTTTAAAATCTTGCTTCCCGCTGCTCGTTTGTTTCATACGAATTGGCTTGAGCAGTACGTACTCGAACGTTTTCGAGTCTTGCTTCTCGTTGCCAGTTTGTTTCTGAAGCTCGCAACTCCCCTTTTTATCGTGCTTAAGGTGCAAATCGAGCAACCGATTTTCACTCTAGTGGCAGAATTAATTACCCACAAAAAGTAATGCTTCGTGACGACTTATTACAAAATCACTTTCAAAAGCAAAAAAATGCGTGTTATTGCTTGAAAAATTTAATATTTTATGCTTTGCTGAACAATAACGAACTTGGGAATATTTTAATTTGGGCTGTGCAACACATTTCTCTTAAATGGCGGAGTTTTTTTATTAAATTCGAAACAAATTAATACAATTAAGACACAATAGCACCCCGAACAAATACTAATTCAGAAGTCAAACAACAAAAATCAGCGTTATATTTTCAAACTTTTCACAGGACTAGTTTCGATGGTTTTACCGAACCACCATCCTCAGCTGCAAAACCGCAAATGATATTAATATAATTGCGTTTTTTGGAGTGGCAACACTTTTTTCTATATCGCCGAGTATTCTGATTAAATTTGAAACATATATATTTACGCTTTTGCAGAGTCGCAATCCGAAGCTTTCAGAACCCTGAGGTTTTAATCAGAAGTTCGTTAAATTAGCGTGAAATATATGTGTATTGAATGCTTTTTTGGAAAAAGGTGGATGTCGACCTTTCCCAGGACCCAGAAAAAGAATTATAGAAAGTTAGATGACACTAGCTATAGTAGTAACTGAGTGCGTCGCGAACACACACACAAACACACCCTCAGATAGTCTTCTTTATATATATAGATGTGCGTGCATTCATTTACAGCGTTAATAATAAAATGTATAAGAAATATATCCTCCTTTAGCTCAAATGCTATATTGCGCTTATACCATGTGCTACTTGCATGTAATTTTTAATTTTGTGATGAAACTCCACTTTTATTGCCTTCTTCACCATGCGCTACATTTTTGTACACTCATTTTGCCAAGACGTTCCTTGAGAATGTGCCACAAGTTTTCGATCGGATTTGAATCTAGTGAATTTCCAGGCAGTTCTAGCACAATAATTTTATTTTGCACTGTGAAACTTCTGACATATTTTGAACTGTGACATGGAGCCAAATCATGCTGGAAACGTTTTCGACAATGGCAGAATCCTACTTTTTAAAATTGTTATATACTTCGATGAATTTATCATTCCGTCAACAGAAACTAGGGATCCAACGTCATCTGCAATGAAAATATTCCAAAGCAGTTGTTTTTTATGTTATTTTTAGGTTTTTCGGACAGGTTTTCAGAACTACTATTTCCTCTTATTGCTTTTGCAAGCATAACTGGAGTCCTGAGTAAGAACAGGGAGTTTAAACTATGTCCGCACAAGTACAGAAGATACGACGCAAAAGGAAAGGGACCCTTTATTTCTAACAGTTTACATCTATTCCCGTTCTTCGGGATGCAAAGACCAGTACCTTGTTTGAACGTAAAACATAAGAACTAAAACTACTTAATTAAATGATTGTAAACTCAGATAATTTATGAAGACTAGTAACGTGAAGATTGGCCTTTTAAACTTTACGTATTTAATGAGCAGAGTGCGGGAACTACATTACGTCTTCAAATATCAAAGAGAACTAAGTTCTGTCTCAAAAGCAGACAAGAATTGACTGAATAGCGCGCGCGAGGTAAGGTAGTCAGAAGTCTCTCTTTGTCTCTCTGTTGGCTAAAAGTCACAACTTAACAGTTTGCGAGCTCAATTTGCATAACTAAATCTGTTCGCATTTATTCTGGCCTGAACTGGAAAAATAAGAAAGGCTAGCAAAGTTTTAAAATTAAATAAATGTTAGTAAAACTTAAAATCCTTATAAGGTTGAGATCATTTTTATTCACTCTTGCTTCGTCTAACAATGCTAGATTTGTAACCACGAACCAATAAATGAGTATCTTTGCTGAGAAATGGTCTTTTTTTAGTCATTTGGGGTCCGATATTTATATTTTTATAAGATTATTATTGTATAATGTAATTTTGGAATAGAAGTCGATCAGATTTTCGATCAGAAAAAAATCTCTTCTGAAATCATTTTAAATCCATTTTACAATCCGTTTTGGAAACAACTTTATCCTGTTTGCAGGTACAGATGTCACGCAAAAACATTGTTCAAATGGACTTGAGAGTGGCCAAAATGGATATTTTCCTTGAAATATGATACCCGAAATTTTTCGCAATGACAATACTTCTTTTATGTAGCACAGGGAAGTAAAAATCACTTACTACTTAAGATCACGCTATTAAACTAAGCAGTCTTATATTAAATTTGATGTGTGATAATTCTAATTATTAAATTGTTCTGAACGCACGGTTATTAAAACAGCTACCTAAAAATGGTATGCGAGGAAAGAATAATATAGATGATAATTAGATAATAACTAATTGAGCACGTAATCATGGCATATTAGCCTTGAAACATATAAGATCAACCAAGCGCAATTCTGTACTCCCATTGCATTCAATGCAGTACGCAAACAAGTAGAAGTAAGTTCCAGAATAATCAGTCTGACAAAGACTTATATTAGTAAAAGTTATAAGTACCGAATCTTGCAACTGTTCTTATAAACTAAAAGATATTTCAATATTTGCTGATAAATATTCAACAATGGTTTTCCATTTATTATAATCTTGATGCAGGTAATGATCCTGAATCTCATATTTTTGGTAATAAAAGTTCCGTATGTAGCTATTGTTTCTTTCACACCTGAATATCATTACTTTAATAATACGATCAAGGTTTATTTACTGATATGGTTAATTTAATTTAAACGGGTTGGAATTAAAAGGTGTACGCAAATCTTGATACCTACTTGAACGTAATGCTTTCCTTCAACCTTCGATAACTGTCCTGCAAAAAGCCAGTATCTTCCTGGATATATAAGGGAAAAGTCCTGTGGAAAAAAAGTTATAAAAATTAGGAAATACTTCACTAATGAGTCCTACCGAAATAAAGCGAAAATATGAATTCTTGATAAATTATACAATAAGCATATATCTTAAGCTTTCCATTTCGTGAAAAGTCCAAGTACTTCAATTTCAATGGTCAGATTTTTGCGTTCACCCTCCAAGAATAATATAAGAAAGGCTCTCGCATTTTTAAGCACCAACCTCCCAGAGGGGAAAGGGTTAGGAACTCTGACTGGCCTACCTAAGAGGCCAGGTTCGAATCCCGGAAAAGGCATGGATGTAAATTGTCTGTTCCTTCATAGAACGCAAGAGATGTCTAATTAGCAGTGGCCAACGCCTGTAATGGCTAGTGCCCACTACTGGAAAAAAATTAATCACCACTGAATTAACTCTCAAAGGAGGAATTGAATCTGCAATGTGACAAGTTTTCTTCTTTCTAAGTTGCTTCATTAGTTTCCTGTTATATGTGCTTGAATTTCTAATTAGTATTAACGGAAGCTGCATAAAATTAATCCTCGCTGGCACTTTTTTTTATATAACGACCGCCAAAATAAAGGTTTTTTTTTTAAAGAGCTTCAGAAAACATATTTTATGGGCATAATAAAGCTGCTAATATTTGCGTATAACTAAGTTAGAAATATATGCACATTTTACTTTTATTTTCTGCTTCCTTTCGACTATGAAGATATAAATATTTTTAAGCTCTTTTATTTGTTAAAGTTCTCATTACAGGAACTAAGAAACTTCACTCTTTCATAGGAGGATAGCAGTCCTTAAGTTCTTCAATAAATTATTTTTTTTATCTAACTAGACCGTTGTCTTTAATTTACTTGTCAAAGCTGTTAGACGTACTATAATGATTCGTAAAATAGGAAAGGGAAGAAATATTTGATGTTTTCTAAGTGACAATATTTTCATCTTAGTTTGTTTGTATTGTCTCAAACTGCGTACTTGGAATTTACTTTGTAACGGAGAGTTAATCTATAAGACTGCATTACTGTAATTCAAACAGGATCTGTTATAGCTGTTTGAAAATAGCTACGGTGATAATGCGATGCACCAGCAACCATTCGATCCTCTCAGAGTATCGACGTTTTGAGAAGATAGTTCTGTAAAGATGAATAAACATAAGATAACTGTAAATCTCGTGGTTTATGGGGAAAATATAGTTCGAGTGTTGAATGAAATTCTACAAATCTCACGAAGATCGATTAAACGCTTACATATTTCGTCCGTACCTCTAGAGTTCGGCTTATACCTAAAGGGACTCCAAGCCGAACAGACATGGTACATTCACAAACATCCATGCCTTCTCCGGGATTCTAACCCAGGCCCTTCAGTACGACACACTGAGCCGCCAACTGCTATCCCCATTGGACTGCAGAATGTTTTTTAAATACAAAAACAGATTTATAAATACAGTTTGCATCAAATTTGTGAATCAGGTCCATTAGTTTCTTGTAAACTATTAACGATAGAACAGTGCTCCTCATATTATGTTAATGAGCCAGTTGATAAATATATATATATATATATTACATGAAGGTCCATTTATCTATCCTAAACATTTATAGAGAGATTTACCTTATAATAAGATACTTACAGAATTTACAATTTCTTTAAGAGTTTTTATAAACTAATAAATGAAAACATAGCATTTCAGTTAACAATTTTTCATGTAAATGATACAATCAGTCACATTTAATCAGTATAGGTCATGTTCTAGTTCTCAATTAAATATTTTGTATACCAGGATTAAAATTCGAAATCTATTACTAAAAAGAAAAATTGTATTGAATTAATTTTCTGAAGTTAACAGCTGAAAATATTTACTTCGGAGATATCCTTTATATTTAATTCTTAAAGACACTAATCATAAAGAATTACATTTCGAGCAATTCTATGTATGTAAAATTTGTGTGTAAACCACTAAAATTTACGTAATAAAAATTACCTACTTTTAATTTCTCCGTGATAATAATTTATACTAACTCAAAATGCAAATTTTATCTGAAGATTTATGAAATTAAAATATGCATATATTAGTTACAATACAGTTTAAAATTATATTCATTTACCTAAAGGATCTGTTTAAAATTTAGCTATGCACAATGATAAATGTTTGTTTCAAAATTAATAGCTGTGATAAAATATAGCAAAGAAAGAGGAATAAAGTAACAAAAAGTAAAATTCGAAGAAGAAATAAGTGCAAAGGAAGAAATCAAGAAAAAAGAAATACTTTTTATACCTTAGGTCCTTTGGTAAAGACGGTTTTTTCTTGAAGAGTTTCGAGATTAATATAAGGCTCTTCCCCGTCAAAAGCAGTATCAATGTTCTCTAAATCCTCCATACTTGACAGCTTGTTCATCGCCTCATTCATCTCTTTGCCAAAAGTTCGAAAAACTGAAGAAAAATTGATAAAATTCCTATAACTCTTTTGTAATGTGTAATCCTTTATATCTGAAGCTTTTTTCTTAGAAATTCAGAATAAGGAATTTCTAATAATTGTTGAATTAAAGAATATTTTTAAATTAGATGAAGGATAATCATTTAATATTATTCAGAAAAATTATACATTACATAAATATTTTCCCCCATTTCTGATTACTTTTATTATTGTGTAAAGAGTGCAAATTTTAGATTACAATTTTTTGTCGCTGAAATGCTGGGATTAGAAAACTGTATTCAGAATTATAAGTTTTTCTACTATTCCTAATCCTTTCAAAAAATGTTTTTTGTTCTGTGAGAGTCTTTTGTGTCAAATCCCATTTGATACATATTCAGAACATTTCAGTTATGAAACCCAAATAGTAGTTTTTGACTTTAAAACTGGAATTTAAGTAGAAATTCTACTAGCGTTTAAAAGTTTTAACATAAGAAATAATGTTACGAAAAGATTTTACTGAAATGTAAAATTATTTTTTAAGCAACAGATTTTTAGCTTCTTTAGGTAAAAAATAACTAGTTTAATAAAAGAAAGAAATGATTTTAATTCTTTTTTCCGTAATTCAAGGATTTTTAAGCCAAATTACTTATTATATTTCAGAAGTAGCATATCAATTGAAAAAAAAGGATATAAATTTTTATTCATTCAAAAAAATTTCATAATTAATTTTTTTTTTAATTTATCTTCAGTTAAAATTCTACACTTCCTTCTATTTATCCTTTCTTATAGAGAACAATGGTCTAAAGAGACTTCTAAAAATGTCAACACCCACCAGCAGCCGAGCGGTAAATTCGCTCAACACTGATAATTCGGCCCAAGGTTCGAGACCCGGCGAACGGACTGGCTGCATAGCCGTTTTCATGGTTTTCCCTTTGTGTAATGTAACTACGAGCCAGTTTTCCTTAGACAGTCCTTCACGGAGGCATCCCTCCGCTTGGACAAATACCCCTCGTGTGTTTTGGCCTAATCAAATAAACCTAAACCTTTCTTATCAGCTTTCATACAAAATTATATCAAATAATTAAGATCTGTTCTCATGCATTTTTGACTTTGAGAAATAAATGTCTAGTAATACAAAAGATAGCTTCATTTTATTCCTATGTTTTCCGTGCTCTTCAAGTTTGCTCCTCCAAACTATCCCTTGATGAAGAACTAAATTATTTAAAAGCAATAGCTGTTGACAGGGGCTTTTCACCCAACATTATTAACCAAGCAGTTAAAAAATTCTCATCTCAACACACTAAAAGGCACACTCTGGTTTTAGGAGATTATAAAAATTATGTTATCATACCCTTCTTTCCATCAATTAGCTATAATGTTGCACATATTTTATAGAAATTTAACATTCGGGTCGTTTATTCTCCCATCAATAAAATTCCGAATTCCATACTCAAGGACCCCATTCCGGATATGAAGTCCTGGGGTATTTATAGGATTCCTTGCCAGTGTGGTTTAATTTACATTCTCCATTTGGCGAATGTATATTAAACCAAGAGAGCCTTAAAATTTCGCGTAAAGGAACATGAGGCATATGTTAGACAAAAGAAAACACAGAAGTCTTTTGTTGCCCAACATTGTTGGTCCGAAAATCACACTTTCAATTTTTCTGCTGCCAAAATTATTCAAAAAACATCTTCCATTGGATAACTGGATTTTCTAGAGGCATTTCGCATTTTTTCTGTTCTAGTTAACGATCCTAATTCCAATCCATCTTTGCCTTTGGCCTTTAAAGAAATTATGTTTTAGTTCTGGTTTCATCAACAGATGGAGCCACTAGCTTATTTTTTGTCCAGTCTTTCTTATCTTATCTGATCCAAAGAATCTCTAAGGATTCTTTGTCTGATCCTTATATCCTATTTCGTTCATTTGCGCTTTTGCAGCTGAGGATGGTGGTTCGGTAAAACCATCGAAACTAGTCCTGGAAAATTTGAAAATATAACGCTGATTTTGTTGTTTGACTTCTGAATTAAATAAATGTCTATCAGCAAGTTTCGAAATAGGGGTGGCACCGTTTGTATGCAGAAGACGTCTTGGGCTCAAGTCTGGGAGATATGGGTAAATTACGAATAAAGGAAAATATAATGAGGCAGCACACACAATTTTGCGAAAATAGATATCATTAATACTGTACGCATGTTTCTTTTCAAAATATCCTACTTTGCATGCAATGCATTTATCTGACCATAAGATAATTATCATAATACATGTAATCCGCTATTCCTTAAAGAGTACTTCAAACGTATCTAATATTGTGTGCATTTAATATATTATCAAGACGTGAAACACTGTCCTCTACCATGGATAAAAAACATCAGAATCTGTAAAATTGACAACTAGTTATTTAACGTAAAATAAATCTTCTCATTTTGAGAGAAAAAACAAAAATCATTAATTTTAAAAACAAGGAATAGAAACATTAAAATTAATCTTTAAAAACAGAAGCTAGCCCGATGAAGGAGACATGAAAAGTGTGCAATGTTCTAACCGGTATTTGAACTCAGGACGTTCCGATGCTAGACGGATGTGCTCCCAATTACACCACGAAGCAGAGGGGTAAGCAGCAAGAAAATACCTTATACTCTTCCCCACTTAAAAGGAGAGAATTGGCGAGAACCCAATAGACAAATTTCGTTAGTGAAGATTTAGCATCCACCACGTTTTAGTTCCGGGGACATACAGATTTTTTTTCAAGTCAGGGGACGTGATAAATCCACCGTAGTATCTCCGGGGCTCGAACCTGGAGCTCTTGACTGCTAGTCGAGGATTAGATATGCTTCTAATTTCACCGCAAAGTGACGCAGAAAGAAAACATCTATATCTTAAAATATAAATATGTCTGTTGTTCATTTGTGTTGCATAGTTAGGTTGAATTCATATTTTTATCCGCGAAGCTGACAGATGTTCCGTAAAGTTTGCTTAATTTTGCCCATTCCTGCTGATCATCATTGTACTACTCTAATCTTTATCCCCCATTATTCACACACGCTAAAACTCTCCGAGAACATTTAACGTAATCTTTTTTTTTCCTCTCTAGTTTTGCTTCTTTTGGACTATATTTTTCATTACTTAACGATTGAAAAATAAATTAATTAAAATTGACTTCTGACATGATCCCGCCTCACACGATTTTATCTGGTCCAAGCATAGGATAAGATAATCCCTCGGTATTTTCCCTTTCCGTCAAATTAATGACACCGGTGAGTCCTCACCCCCCACCGGACTAGGTCCAGGGTTTCAACCCCTGTTCTGGAACCTGGTCGTCAGTTTGCTACTTACCAGTCGCTCGGGCTACCCTTCACAGAGAGGCATTACCCACAGTACCCCATGGAAGTAGGAAGTAACTTTATTTTCTCCTCCCCTAAGAAAAGAAAACCTTCCCTCAATTCAGATTGCTGCATTACTGTAATGCAATATTTTTGTTATGCATTACAGGATAAATTATGCAGATGGGCCGTTAGAGCTTTAAGAGTAAGCGGGGCTAGCAAATAAAATATGATTGACTGGTTCTAATCTATTACTATTAAATATTAAGATATTAAGTTTCATCTTCGGAGTGATCTTTCATACTTTCTGAAATTCTGAAAGCAAATATAATTTTGAATTCAACAACTAGGAAAAAAAAACCTATGCTACAAATTAAACTAGATTTTCCACCTGAATTCTCATTATGAAGTTATCTGCCTTTGTTTGAGTAGATATTACACTAATAGACGAAAAAAAAAAGACGCACAAAGAAGGAGTTATCCGAATGGGACGAAAATCGGTAGAAGTGATGTACATGTACAGAAAAACAAATCATTACAGTTTGAGAAAAACTGGATGATTTATTGAAGTGATAGAGCTTTACAAAGTGAAAAAGTCACTAATGCGTTTGTCCACCTCTTATTACAATTCTCCCACCAACACCAATTATTATTACCACCTCCAATCCCAATTCTGGCCCTTACGCAAGCAGTTAATGGGCTTGCATCGATTGATAGAGGTTGCGGATGTCTTCTGAGGGATTTCGTGCCACATTCTGTCCAACTGGCGCGTTAAATCGTCAACATCCCGAGCTGGTTGGAGGGACCATCCCATAATGCTCAAAACGGGCTCAATAGGAGAGAGATCCGGTGACCTTGCTGGGCAAGATAATGTTCAGCAAGCACTAAGGCAAGCAGTAGAAACTTGCAGTGTTATCTTGCTGAAATGTAAGCCCAGGGTGGCGTGACATAAAGGGCAACACAACGGGCCTTAGAACTTCGTCGACGTACCGCTGTGCTGTAAGGTTGCAACGGATGACAACCAAAGGGGTTCTACTATGAATTGAAATAGCACCCCAGACCATCACTCCTGGTTGTCGGCCTGTCTGCCGGAGGACAGTCACGTTGGTATCACACAGTTGTCCGGGGCATCTCCAGACTCGCCTTCGCTGGTCATCGGGGCTCAGTTCAAAGCGAGACTCATCACTGAAGACTATCCTACTCCAGTCAGTAACATCCCAGTGCGAATGAGCCCGACACCACTGCAAACGGGCTTGACGTAGTACAGAGGTCAATGGTAGTCGGCGCAAGGGGCGCCGTGACCTCAGCCACCTTTCTATGAGCCGTCTATGAATGGTCACTGTCTTGCTCTCACTGAAGCAATAATTGCATGTACAGTCAATGAAAATGATGGAGCTGGAGCTGCGAGTGCCGCTCTGACGATTGCTGGGTCTTCACGTTCTGTCGTATCTCTAGGCCTACCGCTTCCTTCTTGACGTTGTGTACGGCCATAGTTAACCCATTCCTGTCCTAATAGTGGCATCGCTCCTGCTCAAATGTCGAGCTATTCGCCGATAAGACCAACCGGCTTCTTTGTGCCCAACTACATGATCTCTCTCAAATCCTGACATCTGCGCATATCGTTCGCGCACCTGTATGCGAGGCATAGTTACTGTCTATCAGAGTACACGGAATGAAATTCGTGAAGAATTTAT